CGAATCATTTTGTAGAAATTTTCTTCTATCCACTCAACCATATCATAAAGTGCAACTCTACACTATACAGAGATTTGTATCATTATTCATTATTGATCATCCATTTCATAGTCTCAATTTACTATATATATATATAATAAAAAATCATCCCTCCATCTTAAATTAAATTTTTTTTTTTTAAGAATATAATTTTTTAAGAAGATGAATTTTAATATTTTTGTACTTTATTGATAATAATTCACTATAAATTGACCATAATTTGTTTTTTATAAATTTAATTTATTAAGTTTAAATCGGTAATATTAAAAAAAAAAAAAATTTAATTATAGTACTTTAACTTTATGACATTTATTTTGAAATAATCAAAAATAAAAAGACAAACATTTTATTTAAAATTTATTATATTCCATATTCATATCATATGTACTCATATCCACATATATATTCATATCCATACTTCTCGTAGCAATCAACCAATGGGATACAGGTCTTCAAATGGACATGGGACCCACCACCATGATCCATTACTCATTTTGTTCCAGAATCTAAGGTGCCCTTTTATCATGCTTTATGGTTCAATTATTTAACTAAAATATCCTTGCCAGTGCTAGACAAATTAATTCATTGAGAAAAAGATAAGGACACGACAAGCTTAATTTCTTGGGACAACCTACAAAAGGTAACCTTTATGGAATATATTTGATTATTCTGCAACAATTTCTAATCACGTGTTTGACGAATTGGCCACTTGTCTAGACAGAGTACGACGTGTCCGCATCACAAGCTTCAGCTCTTGGGGATAGGAGGATCTTCCATCAAATGGGCCGACTCCATTTTTCGGAAGGCCCATTCTTGTCTTGGGCTCTGTTTTTTAGTACGGATTACTTCTGTTTAATAACATAATTAATATTATCCTGATTGAATGCTTCTATGAATTATTCTCTAGTTTATATAAATCCCAATTTATTTTGAGATTCTAATCTCTGGTTTATGTAAACGAATATTATACCCAAAATGTTACGCCACGTGAGCAGCGCCTATTTTTTTTTTTTTTTTTACAAGTCAAAAAGTATTAGAAATTAAATCAGTAGATATAAAGAGTCAAAATTTGACACTCCAAAATCAATCGGAGACCCTAATCTACTGAGCTTTCGAAGCATCTGCAACAGCCACTTATACACAGCTTCAAAAGACAAATGATATCCAGGCTTACTTATTAGATCTACTTAATAAAGGGGTCTTTGACAACGATTTTTTATTTTTACTTTTACTATGACCCGAAATAGAAGTAGTATTTCTATTTTAGGGTGTGTTTAACACTAATTTGAAATTCATTTGATAGAGTAAATTTGTTGTAAGATTTTGGAAGGAAAGCATATTTGGTAAAAAGTGTTGTAAATTAAAAAAATTGAATGGCTAGCTAAAATTTTCATTTTAGAAAGAAAAATAAAATAAAATATGAACAATATGGAAGAAACCAAAAAACATCATTTTTATCCTCTGATTTTGGCTTCTTTTTCGGAAGCACTTCGATACTATTCAAATGACAGTAAATATTACCAAACATGTTTTGTATTTTTGTTTCACTACGATACACTAATAAAAACAAAAAATATGAAACCAAAGCATTAGCCCAACGGTCCAGAGTGAAACAACTAAGAACATTTATGACCTGAAGTGATTTGGACTCTTGAAGTGGACCTTTTATGCAAAGTTAAGATATTTATTCCTATCTATATGTGTTCATGAACGACTCAAATTCGGTTCCAGCTCGTTCATTAATTAAATGAGTTGAGCTCGAATTCAATTTCTAAGCTCTTTTAATAAACGAGCCGATCCAGAATAGTAATGTGCGCGGCTCGTGTAAGCTCGTGAACATGAGCTCGTGTAGGCTCGTTTATATTCATAAACATGAGCTCATGCAAGTTCGTTTATATTCGTTAATTGTAGGCTCGTTATAAGGTTCTTTAACATTTATTTCTATTTTTTAATGTAATTCTTTAATTTTTGAAAGTATAAGATAAATATACAATAATTTATTAAACTAGCTGGCAAGTTCGAAAGCAAGTCTAAACAAATTTTAACGATGAACTCAATTTATTTTCTTAAATGAGCTGAGCCTGAACTGAGTCTGTACTTTTTAACACCATGACGAGCCCAAGCTTAGTTTTTTGACCTCATCACGACCCCGAGTAGCCTAAGACTCGGCTTGGCTCGGCTCAGTTCATTTGTAGCCCTAATAAGAAACACCGAAAAAGCAATTTCAGGTTATAGCATTACCTTAATGCTATGATTGGAAGCACCAAATAGTGATTTTGAGATTGGAATCGGAGGATATCTAGTTTAAAATGAAATTTATTCAATCTTTAAACTAAATATTCTCTAATTTCAATCCCAAGACGACTGTTTCAATGCTCCCAAATGTAACACCATAGTAAATGTAATTCTAAACATGAAAAAAAAATATAAATAAATAATTAATAATAAAAAAATTGAAATAATTTCTATTTATGAGAATCGCTGAAAAAATCTATCGGACATTGAAGCATTACTAGTAGACTATGTTCAGCCGCATGGAATTGGAGTTTTGGATTTGGAATTTGTAGAATTAGAAAAAAAATTAGTTCAATTTTTTATAATTTTGAATTGAATTTTTCTTCAATTCCACTAATTTCAATTACAAGACTCCAATTCTATACAACCAAACATAACTTCATTGTAAATGTAATTTCAAACACGAAAAAAATAGTAAGGCTATATTCGGTTACATGGAATTGGAGCCTTAGAATTAGAATTAGTAGAATTGAAGAAAAACAACTTAGAAAATTGAATTAAAATTTTCTTCAATTGCACCGATTCAATTCTAAAGCTTCAATTTCATCTGGTGGAACACACCTAAAAGAGTTTATAATGAAATTTTATTTATTTGTTTGGAATTAGGATCTATGAATGGGTAGACTGGTAGAGTTTTCGTTTATTTGTCTTCTTCTTCTTTAGGCAGAGCGGTAGAGTTGGAAAATTAAAAATTTCCCTATGAGATTAGTTTAAAATAAAATTGAAATTGTACGAAATCCCATTATGCTACTGAAAACAAGTTTTGCGTCATATTGCATCATAGTGTTTGGCTTTTTAGCTTCAGAAAATCAATCTTACCTTCTCCAAAAATAGTCTGGAAAATACTTGTACGAGTTGGTTCCAAAATAGTGGTGTTTTATAATCTCAAGATGCTGGTATATACTGTATTTGATAGTTCCAAAATTATAACATAAACCAATGTCCGTCTCCAGACGTTTACTAATAGCCTCAAGTAATTGGACATTAAACATGCTTGATGCAAACAACAATTATAAAATACATTATTCTGTAAATTATCCCCGAAAGAAATGTGCCATTTCACCAAGCAATCTGCCAGTATGTAATATTTTAAAAAGAATTAGAGTATTATCTTATTAATGTGTTGATGTGGATGAGAGCCCGATTTGAAAAAATTATATATATATAACTTTGATTGGAGGTGTAACAAAAGTTACCGATTAATGAAATATATATATATATGCTTAAGTGTTAAGGATTGGTTCACTTTCTTTGACATTTAAACCGTAAACTGCTCTAATCCTGATGGTTACACTAGTTTTGGAACCGAACTTGTGATTTAAGGAACCCAATCAAACCATATGGCTTGAATAAGATTTGCATAACATTCATATATAAAGCATTGAATCTCATTTAGAATAGGTGGACTTTTTATTGGCGTTTAAACTTGGAACCTAAAAGCTTATTATGAAGAACACTCTGATTCAATTCGAAACATGTTTTGCTTCAGGTGCTTGCAAAAATTTAATTTTAGTGTCTGTCTAGCCTAACTGGAGCAAAAACATTCCCTGTATCCTTACACCAAACGGTCTCTTGTTTCATTATTGTTTGTGATTGATCATGGATTGGAATATTTTTATTTCCATGGAGGGGTTGAACAAAATTAAATCCAAAGTATGTTGTAGGGCAATTTATGCCCAACAAGCCTATTAGCTTAGTGGCCTATAACAACCTATCTTCCTTAAAAGTTGTGTTTTCTAAGCTGATTCTTCTTATTCTCATTGAATAATTCAGGAAGCTTTTGGAATTCTCATGGAGGCAGTATTAGTTTCCACAGTGCCTAGAACCACCATTGGAGACGACTTCAATTCTAATCAGAGGAACCATGGACTGTGTTACAAGTCGATTCATAGACAAATTTTCGTCTCTAAAATGAGTTGGAAAACAACGTAATTTCATTTGTTTCCATGGGACATCATATGCCCCATTGTTGTTTTTATATGTTTGCTATTAGATTCAAAATGATTCGATTCATTCAACAACTGCGAATATAAAGAATTATCAAGTCAATAATTTGGCGGTTGTCTGATTCAGATCACTCAGTAAGAAAAAGAAAAAACAGTAACAGCAGAAAGTGTGACTTAAACCATTTCCTAGTATATACTTAAATGATTTCCCAGATTTCTATTCTAACCCTTTGCACATTGCAAATATAAGTTCAGTAATCTGATGAGTGCGAACTTTTCATAGGTCAGACTAGGAATCGATCAGCAATGACGTGAATTTCAGACTTTTCTATGATTTTGCACACCCAACTAACATACACCAAGAGATTCCTAGTTGCCAACAACTTGTAGCCACACCTTTTGGACTCTTAAAATGAACCTTATTATTCATTCCAAAAGAATCTAAGTGACAGCCGCAGTAAAAAAAATCAGATTCAAAGCCACAATTTCGGATTGCTTCAATGCACTCAAAAATCTTGAAGTGTATCCACCATAGATTATGCTTCATGTCAGCTTCAGATTGCCGTCTCGATTCCCATTGAATAAGTTCATAATCTCAATTAAAATTGATATGGGTTGAATGCAGCATCATTTATGATTGATATGGTGTTTGAATGGCCTACCCTGTCAAGTACTGATTCCTCTGTAAGAGGATAAAACAATGAAAAGAGGCAAGTAATGTGACAACAAAAAAAAGCATGCGTCTATTACTCCATACCCATAATACAAGTGTGTGATCTTGGCAACTTGTTAAGATGATAAAACCACAAAATTCCAAGACCATATAGCTTAGCATTTACAACATACTATGATAGAACTCAAAAGTATACATTATTGTTAGGCAATAGGAGAACTTAAGTTCTCACTTAAAACACACAAACAACGTACCCAAGTCCCAATAAACTAAGGAAGGTACAAAGTTGTGAGCGGGTCTCTAAATAAAAGAGAAATGCTAAGTGTAGTCGCGACCGTGAACTCCTTTAAATAACATAATCGGACCATTCCGCGTACGAAGTATGGTCCATGGTCAAACCCGGGATCTTATTAAGCTTTCCTCCAATCAACCTAGCCGGGTTCCCAACTGCAGTGGTCCTTGATGGCACTTCCTTCAACACAACTGAGCAAGCACCAATTTTAGCCCCATCACCAATCCTAACATTGCCCAAAACACAAGTCCCTGCCCCTATTAAAACCCCATCACCAATTTTAGGATGCCTATCCCCCCAAGTCTTGCCAGTCCCACCCAATGTCACATTATGCAAAATTGACACATTATCTCCGATGACAGCCGTCTCCCCGACCACAACTCCGGTGGCATGATCGAGCAATATCCCCCGTCCGATCCTCGCCCCGGGATGGATGTCCACTGCAAAAACCTCAGACACCCTGTTCTGAATGAGCAGAGCCAAGGTTCTCCTACCTTGTGACCACAGCTTATGTGCCACCCTATGAGCTTGGCATGCAAGAAAGCCCTTGAAATTCAAGAAAGAGTGGACATAGCTAATACAGGCAGGGTCTCTCTCTCTCATAGCCCTCAGATCATCTCCAACGGCTCTCATGATTTTTTGATCCTCTGCGAACACACCCAGGAAAATATCACAGAGGGTAGTAGTAGGAAGACTGGAATTGCTCAATTTCATTGAGAGGTGATTGGCGAGAGCGCTTTCTAGGGAGTTGTGGGACAGGATTGAACTGAAATAGAAGCTTGACAATATGGGTTCTTGTTCAACGTCTGATCGAGCTTCATCTCTCATTTTCAGCCACAGATCATCTTGATCCACGGTGTCAATGGCTTTACGTGAAGGGATTGTTTTTGGGTGAATTTTGGTGATGGATGAAACAAGCCCGGGGATGTCTATGCAGAATTTTGCGTAATTGTAGACATCATCGATTTGGGACCTGTTTGGGTCGAAGGAAAGTGGGTTGGTCTGGACGTTGTCTGTTCCCGAGGAGTGAATACAAGCGGCCATTGAATGGGAGAGTTTGCTACGTTTGGAGTGAGAAAATTGGTTGCTCCGGTATGATTGATGGGCCAAGAAAATAAGTGGACATAGAATATAGCGGGGTGTGGGAATGATATGGGGTTGAGGAGGGGAGAGAGTTATATAGAGGGAAAGGAAGGTGGATAGGGGTGTAACCAAACACATTTGAAGGTTCATTCTGGGAATTTTCCGTCTAGAAGTGTTGGTCCCACAGCACCTTTTGGAGTGGCAAAATACGGACAAATCAAGTTGGTTTGAAATATAAATGTCGTATGGATAAACCTTTTTTAAAATGAATTAAAAAGTGGATTTGAAGAACAGAGGATCATTTATTGGATGCATCCAAGTGAGATTCATCTGAATCTTATTAAAATTATATATTTTTTGCTTTTTTAGTCGGCTTATTTTACCCAGCACGTTTCTTACCTCATTATTATTATTATTATTATTATTATTATTATTATTGTTATTATTATTATTATTATTATTACAAATTTACAATTCTTGATTTCTTAAGAGAATGAATTAGTTAATAATTTCTTACATTTGAACTATAAAAATGCATATGTTTTGGAAGAAGGAAATATCAAAAATTTTATGAATATCAAGATATCTATAATTGGAGTTTGGATTTGAGTATACGAAATCAATTATTGAATAATTTAAAATTCACATGGTTGAGATATGATGAGAAGTACAAATCGACATATACAAAGAAACTTCGATGAGATAGGTATGGAGAAAGAGAGAGAGAAAAAGAAAGGGAAGACCATAATTAGTTAACAAAAGAAAATTAATTTTTTTTGTTTTTTAGGTAATAAAATAAAATGAAATGAAGTGATATTAGCACAAGCGATGTGACATGACAACGACGGTAACTCAACATCATGATTGAATACGCGACTTGCTTTTTTACTGTATTGATGAATTTCTTCATTTCTTTTTCTTTTTCTTTTTCTTTTTCCCAGATAAGGAAGTTCTCCTCAATTTTTAAAATTGGAACTTTTGTCTAATCGGTAATCACATGACAAAATTTTGTTATTGTTAAGAAGGCCTCACTTAGTGGTTCTCCAAAATAACCTCCGTGATTTCAATAACGAAAGAACAAAATTAGCTAATAAATAGGATTAAAATCATAAAACTCTTTTATTATTTTTAAAATTTATCAACTAATTTTTTAAATTAAAGAAATTATCATATTATCTCTTAATTTTTTTAAAATTCTTTCATGTCACCCCTTTTTCGTTAGTTTCCCGTCTAAAACTAATGGGATCATATCACATGACCATTACGTACAAAAGTTGCATCATTTTGCTAACCAAAATAACTTTGTAATTCATAAATTACCTTTCTAACACTGTAATGTCACTTTAATAAAATATTAATATACTATTAAGGGCATTATTGTCATTTCGCAACAACTTAACCATTCTGACCGGGAAAGAGGGTAACGTAATAGTTTTTGTTAGTTCAGGGAGTTATTTGATAATTGATGATTTTTTTAAAACAAGAGGGGGGTTTTATGATTTTAGTCCTAATAAATAAGAAAATTTTCATTATGGTAAATCACATTCAAAATTCATCTGGTCTAATTTACCATTTTTTCGATTTTGAAATTTAAGATCATACATTTATTTGTAATTGGATCACATCGGGGAAGGAATCACTTATCGGTAAGTAAATAACTATTGCCCCTAAATGAATACTTGTATCTTTTAATTGTATTTGTTTGGAGATTTCATATTAATTATTTACGTATTGGCATTAGTGGACAAAAGGAACTGCGGGATTGAATAATACAAAATCACATGAAAATAGATGTATTTACAACTAATAATTCATTTTTGATGAGCTCCCAGGGATATAGCGGCGTTGGTAGGAATCAGGGAGGTAAGTCATTAAGATCTCGTTTTTTAACCGCCTTTCTGACTTAAATAGTGCGTATGTTGTGAGGCCGATACATGTGCTCTAAAAAAAATAATAATAATAATTTTTAGTAGGATGGATGAAAAAGTAGGTGAAAAGGTAGATACAAGACTATATTTAATTGCCCCTGGGGGCTTGGATGAGTTGGTAAAGAGAGGGCTTTGGCTATCACTAGACCAGGGTTTGAGTCTTCCCACCTCCTTTTATTACTTTCGACTTAATTTGTTGCTTACAATTTGGAGCCGGCATCGGCAGCGGGGGGTTTATCTGGTAGCTACAAGTCCAAATGACGGGTAGTTGCAATGGTTCCCGCGTCGTCAAAAAAAAAAAATAAATAAAAATAAAAAAAAAAATAAAAAAAAAAGACTACATTTAAATAGATGAAAATAATAACAAAAGAAATGAAAGGAAAAGTGAGGTGAATGAAATGAAAATTAATTTTCTAACATAAAACTTGCTAAAAAATATATGTACCTATCCAAATTACCCTTATTTTATAAAATATTATAATATAAAAATAAACTTGTGCTTCACCGATTTATTGTTTAGCTAATTTTTATTTCCTTATTTTAATGTCTAATTGAACTTTAATGAAGTCTATGAATAAAAATCTATACAAGTTGAGAAATTTTATATTTCAATGATTTTGTGAAATTTGAATGAATGAACTTGAGTATAATGTTGTCAATAACTAAAGAATTAATTAATATTAATATTAATATTAATATTAATATATATATATATATATATATATATATATATATATATATATATATAAAGGATGAAGTTTTCAAGTTAATTAAAACCTTATAAACTATTAATTATTTGATTTTTCATATACAATGAAAAACAACCGCACATTGGGAATGGAGTTAAGAAGTTACCACAAAAACAATGAAATTGTTGTTAGGTAAAAAATTAATATAAAATAATGAAGTTTTTATTAGGTAAATTAGGAAAGTAAAATAAAAAGACACTACTTTCACACAAAAATAAAATATTCCCATATTTTGTGCCAAAAAAGTTTTGGGCGTTCAAATGTTCCATAACCAGTTGCAAGAGTTCTAAATTTTTCCATTGTCGAAAAAATTTCTATGTTTAGTATTAATAGGACTTAAACTTATTTACCGAAGGTAGACATTAATTTTTGGCATTTCAGGAAGTGATTATTCTGAAATTCAAAATTTTCAACTCCAGCTTAACCCAAATTAGAGAATTATATTTTATAAACAAGGAAGCCAAATCTCTCTCCCGAGTCATGTATATGTCAATCTTGCAATTTAAATTTAGCCACATCGTGTTAATATCCATCACTTACGAATTGAATTTTCACAGGCTGAATTTGTACCGCATGAGAGATTTGACTGGAGAGGTTACATCTCTGCAATTTATATAACTTTTTTCTTAAAAATAATATTTTAATCAATGTTTTATTCAAAACAAAATTTCGTGATTTTAAAACTTTCATGTTTCATTTGTAAGAAATTAAAAAAAAAAAAAAAAAAAATTGAATGGAAATGAGAGAAAAAGGGATAGATTACACATTCATATAAAAGAAATTGTTTCATTTTCTCTTTTTATTCAGTTGAATGGAAGAGAAAAGAATTTACTTTGTTTGTTAAGATAGAAAGGAAGAGAGAATTTTAATTTTAAAAATACAGTATTTGTATAATTTAAAATAATAGTAATTTAAAATTTTTATAATAATTTCACTTTTTCACTCTTTTTTCTATTCATTTTCTCACTTTTTTTTGTCCATATTTAGAGAAGTGAAAATTTGTAACATAAGAAAAATTAAAAAAATTATTCATATATTCTTTTAAAAAAATAAATTATTGATTCATTCTTACACTTCTTCCTTCTTACCTAACAAAATATTAAGAAATTCTTTTGGAAAATAATATTTAATTTTTTTTAAATTAAAAATAACAACTACTATGATGGTGGGACTGTATTTTAATGCATTTGTACAATGTAGTCAAATATTTTGGGCTGGAAAATGGGGGACCAAGCAATATGTAATTAATTGATTCCGTGAAGAATGCGTCGCATTTTGACTGGGGGGATGTGACAGAATGAGGCTCTTTGTTGCCACAGAAAGTAAACGACAAACTTTAGCTTAGCCTGACACGAGCTGGGATTTCTTCGGTGCACATCAGCGTAGGATAAAATCCAAATCAGACGATCGATATGCATTAGATCAGTACGTAGATTATTTAAGCCACGTGTCACAGCTGTGCAACACAAGTGTGCTATAGTTTGCGTGTAGACGATGTAGAGTATGATATGATATTCTCTATGAAACGAAGGTTTGACTAGAAACATAAAAAAGTGAACACGTGGGGATCAAATTTCCCTCCGGCACGAAATGTCTAGGGTACTCCGCGGCACAAACATCGCACGCCATTTCATCCACTTATTCAAATAACGTGGAATTTAAAAATAAAATTTTAATTATTTTAATATAAGAAGAATTCATTATTGGTGACTTTTCACCATTTAAATGGTGTGATCTCCTTATTAAAGTAGTAAAAATTCGAAATAAATAGATTCAATTGTGCAGGGATGTACTGGAGAAGATTTGTTTTCACTATTACAATTCTCAGTGCACTAGAAGACAGGGAAGATGGATCCTACCCAATTTTAGACGACCCACCTTTCTATGGCATGCTACTAATTTTCTCTATCGACATGGAAGAACACACCCCCAGTAGGGCCACTATCCCAACTTTAATTCATTTCATTAGGTAACATGTCCTTTCACAAAAAGATATTCATTTGTTTTCATTAGATACATTACTGTCATTTGTATTATACACATGCTAACGACTATATAATACACGCGACCATAAACAAAACAATTATAATATGTTCGTTACACGATGTATTAAACACATTGTATATTTTTTTCCTTTCCAGCCACGTGTATTCCTTTTTTTTAGTTACACTTGGGTATTTGGACATGATTTGTTTTAGTGGTTGTTTCAAATTGACAATTCATTCAAGGGGAAAAACATCATATTGCCTTTCACTCATGTTTGTTGAATGTACTAAGATTTGCGTTCGTAAGGGGTGATATATGTATTCTTATTTTGTAATGGTATTTTTTTGCTAGAAAAAAAAAAAAAAACAAAGGGTTAAAACATTAATCTCTTGTAAAATTTGGACAAATTACAAAAATAAACCGCTCAGGGTTATTATTTTGACATTCCCTAAATTCATTACCTAACAATCGAAAAATGACTTTGAGTTTGAAAGTTAATAATACCTTTATATTATTTTGTCATTTTATAACAATACATAAAGATTATATGTCTTTTCATACAAGAGAAATCAAAATACGTTATTTTATAAAATTTGGTCATTTTATAATAATACATAAAGATTATATGTCTTTTCATACAAGAGAAATCAAAATACGTTATTTTATAAAATTTGATTAATAGGTTGTTTTTAAAGAAAGCAACAAGAATGTCGTTGAGCACACACAATAAATATGTGAGATGATTAAAATAATAAATATTGATCTATTTATGTATAATTTGTCCAAATTTAAAATATTAATCAGTTTAATTTACCCATGATCAATTAATTAAGAATCATTAAACACAAGAAGTATATCTCACATGGTATTATTTTTTTCACTTCACATGGTATATATATATAAATTAAACTTTTATAATCCCTTAGGCACGAGACCAATGTTATAAAATAATCACGTGGTTAAAACTTTGAAAAATCTTAAGAGTAAGCTATATCGTGAATCACACTAGTGGAATAGAGTAATTTATTAAGAACCAATATATATATATATAATGTAAACATTGAAAAGGTCATAACTCAAATTTGAAACAAGTTATCGTTTCCTTCTCGTTTTTGGTTTCATCAGCATTTTGAGTCTGAATTGCAAATACATTTTGACTAGGGTTTTTGAAAATGAATCCATATGGAGTTTTATTACCACATGGTTTGCTCAAATTAAAAAAAAAAGAAAAAAAGAAAAAAAAAAAATGTAGTATGAAGTTATATTAATATGCATATCGTTGTAACAAGGAAACAGCCAAGGCAATTCCACTTTGGTTTGCCCATTGGATTGGCACATGGAATTGATGGATTTTAAAACACGGAAAAATCAGAGGCATGGGGACACAAATGATGATGATAATTTTAAAATAACGCCGCCTCAACTCAAACAAATGATGATGATAATTTCTAATATTAATTACTACATATTTGGGCATTCCATATCATCACCTTGTCATCCTAATTCCTACATGCATGATGATGATGATGATGATATTATCAATCCAGAAACCAGATGTCATTACAAGAAAGAGCAGACATTGAAAAGTCTGTAACGGCTATCTTCCGATGATGTAGATGATGATGTTTTTTGGGGGTAAAAATGTAAATGATGATGTTATATACTTATATCACCCTTGCAGACATTTTTTTTAATTATTTTATCATGAATTCCACAATAAATAGAATGAAGGGAAAATGTGTACAAAATAAATACACCAAATTCTTCATTTGTCATTATCCTTTTATCTAAAAAGGAGAGATATTCACTTCAAAAAAAAAAAAAAAATTGACCAACCGCGAATCGTTGTAGTAGTATGTGGTTGCACTTGCAACTTGGGTAGGTCTGTCTACTTTCCCAAAAAAGGAAAAAACTTGTGGGTAGGTCTGTTCAAATCCAACTTGGGCTTTGGGCACCTCTTTTGTTGCTTAGACTTGGGATTGAAAAAATTTCAACTTTATCTTCCCCGCAAAAATTTAAAGCAATCGTTACCAACTACAATTTGCCCAACACTATCACAATCATTTGTGTTATTATTAGAATATAATTAGTAACCTATGTTTAACCTGTAACAACCTAAACCTAATCTCATTAACTTGTCATTAATCTAAGTCCAATGTATAGGAACTCAAAAATGTAAACTCAAGTGTGTGAGTAGGATTTTTTTTATTTTATTTTTTTCTTCACGTATGGGGTATCTCCACACTTTACAGATGTGACACTAATCTACCTTTGGTCACACAAAACACACCACAAGTCGCGTGTAGTGTGCAAGACCGCCCAAATTTAGGACTCAGCTTAACCTAACCTATGTGGTACCCCACGGAATTTGTTTTCCCAAATACTCGAATCTAAGACCTGATACTTCACGAGGTACCAGGACTTGAGTTCTCACTCGCTAGACCAACCCCGCAAAGGTAAGGGTGTACTAAGCTGAGCCAACCTAACATTTTACATTCTTAGACAATCATTTTTGCACAAATGTTAGGCCTGTTTGAAAATTTCAAATTAAATTTAATTAAGGTTGAGCTCAATTCGAAGGGTCAATTACCCAATCCCACATTGAATTTAAAATGAACTCTATATATTTATAATATTAAACATGTTTTATATATATTTATTATTTATAAATCGTGATCAATTTAATTAAGATTGTAGTAGTATGGTTTGCACTTGCAACTTGGGAAGGTATGTCCAAACCCAACTTGGGCAGTTGCTTTGACTTTCGAAAAAATTTCAACTTTATCTTAATAGGATTAGGGTCCTGCAAAAATTTTAAGCTATCTGAAGTACGGAACCCAACTCGAATTTGACCAAATATTAGTAACCTATGTTAAACGTGAAATTAATATACCAAATAAATCTGAACTCAAAAATTCTTATATTAATTTCTGGGTGGGCCAACCTTAATCTAACCTAAGTCCAACTGGAGTCCAACCCCTACTATTTCAAGTTCTTGGACTATCATTTCTATGTTAGACTGTTAGTGTTAGGCCTGAAGTGTCAACAATCCAATCCCAATTCAACCTCTTATTTTAACATGAACTCTATATTTGTATAGCTTATAAACATGTTATATGTACTCGTAACCGTGATCAATTATTATTATTATTATTATTTTGTCTCTGTCTTTTCAAAATCTTTATTTATTGCATGTTAATTATTTGGAAAATGGTTTTTTTTCTTCAATTTATATGTATCTATATTCAAATTTATAGAATTTCTTTCGAGTATCAAAAAGTATGAGACTAACCCAAGATGAACCTAATTTTTAATATGAATTTTCTAACTTGAGTTTAATTTATTTAACATGAGTCGGACTCTTGACTGAAATATTTGAGTTGAAGGTTTTATACCTTTGGTTGAATTGATACTTCAAAGTTAACTTGATGGTGTTGGGATGGAGTCTTAAAGGTTGAGATTTAGTTAAGCTCAAAATCGACCTTACACATGCAATTGCTAAGTTGAGCTCAGAATCAGACTTGCGCGTACACTCAATAAAACTTGAACATTCAACCTCTTTTGTAGAAAGAGAAATTATAACATCTCCTCATGTCTATTGATATTAAACTACTAGCATTTTTCTTGTGCTTGTGTAATACTCCTTCGGTTTCAAAATAAGTGTCTACATTGGGACAAAGGGCGTAAAATATGTTTAGGTGCCCATTTGTCACTGCCTCATTTGGCTGTCCCTCTCATTTTTTCACAGTCTGGTTACCTCATCAGCAACCCCATGAGGCGAACAGTGAATTAAAACGCGCCAGTTTTTAAAAGAAGCTCTGTTATCCTAATTCACGCTCACCCACAAATCGTGACCTGCACGATCAAATCAATGAGTCTCCTCTCTCGAGCTCACTCCCAACTTCTCTACACGCGCTTCAAAAGAAAGTGATCCAAAACCTAAAGAAAGAGATCGAAGGAGTTACTGTATGAGCTGGAGAAGCATGTATAACCGTTGTACATCTCTTGGAGTTTCATAACTACTTCTTAACAAACCACCTTCTCCATATCATCATATACACATACATATATATATATATATATAGCCAAATCTCAGAAACCTCCAATAATTAAGAACCATCTTTATATGTTACTACTCTAAGCATCAAAAATCTCATGACTGCCCATTTCTTTCACTACCCAATTCTTTAAAGCTTAAAGTAATGAAGCCAATCTTTGTATGTGTTTTTGTGTGCTATAATAGTTATATATACAGTGCTATATCAACCCATCTCAAACGTTCAGTCTCACAAAGACTACAAGAGACACTACATTACGCTCCTATATTTATTACCTTCACCTCTTTCTCGCCTCATCCACTACCCCTTTTTGATCAATTCCATTAATCCTTGCAATTTCAGATATACCCACAAACATATCGTCACAGAAAATTGCAATTTCAAAGATAGCCACATGAATTTTGGTCTTGTTGGTGTTGTTATCTTGGTGTTTTTGGGTGGAATTGGAGAGGGTTTTGCGGAATTTGAAGAGACTGGTGTGAGGAATTATATTACTTGGGATGATATGAAGGTGGATTCAGATAAGGAGAGCTTGGATTTCAGAGATGAACGTAATGTGAGTCGGATAATTGTGGTTGATAAGAATGGCAGAGCTGATTCCATTACAGTTCAAGGTGCAATTGATTTGGTTCCTCATAATAATTCTCAGAGAGTCAAAATTTACATTCGTCCGGGAATTTACAGGTCTGTGTGTAACTCTCTCTCTCTCTCTCTGTGCATATATATATATATATATATATATATATATATATATATATATATGAGATTGACCACTATTTGTATAGACTTCTCTCTCTCTATATGTGTGTGTATAACTTCTTCCGTCAATCGAGAAGCAACCCAGAAGTTAATTTCATGTTTGCAGTTACTTTTTCATTTTTTTTTCTCGGGCTGGTGTAAACCAAAATGTCGCGACGTGGGTACTGAAAGAAGTTGAATGCGTTGGCACTATGCCCTCTCTCTCTCTCTCACACACACACAGTCATTTCTCTCGTTGTACAGTAATGGCTTTGGTACTTATTTGTTGAATCTATGACCAATTGTAGAACTTGTATCATCTTTGATTCTATTTTTTCACTTACCCATTTGAATTTCCTCATCTAAACGAGTTGCTTGCTTACTATGCAGAGAAAAAGTATTTGTTCCATTCTCCAAACCATACATTTCATTCATTGGAGATCAAAATCGAACATCGGACACCATTATTACTTGGAACAACAAAGCCTCTGATAAAGACGATCATGGGTGTGAATTAGGAACCTATAGATCAGCTTCAGTCTCCATAGAATCCGATTACTTCTGCGCAACCGGGATCACTTTCGAGGTACTAATTAATTAATCTGTTAAATATACATTAATATAAGAACAATCCCAATTTCACAAATTGATTGTCATTCAACGTGTCCAATAATTTTCAGTGATATATATAAATATATGGTATGTTAATTGTTGTGGCATTTGCAGAATTCAGTAGTTGCAGTGCCTGGAGGGTATGGAATGCAAGCAGTGGCATTGAGAATATCTGGCGATAAAGCAATGTTCTATAGAGTTAGAGTTTTGGGGACACAGGACACACTCTTGGATGACACTGGGTCCCACTATTTTTACCAGTCTTACATTCAAGGGTCTGTGGATTTCATATTTGGCAATTCAAGATCACTGTATCAGGCATGAACCAACCATTACTAGTCTAGTACTATGATCATGATTCATGAATTAGCTGGCATTCTATAATGTTATTTGAAATTGGTGTGTTGGAGCAGGAATGTGTTCTTCACTCGATAGCCGAAAGATTCGGAGCAATCGCAGCTCATCACAGGGATTCAGCAGAGGATGATACTGGTTTTTCTTTTATAGACTGTAAAATAAATGGAAGTGGCATGGTGTACTTGGGAAGAGCTTGGGGAAACTATTCGCGAGCGATTTATTCGTTCTGTGACATTGATAATATCATAACTCCATCGGGATGGAGTGATTGGAACCACCCATCCAGGCAAATGTATGCTGCTTTCTCTAGCTCATGTTAGTAGTACATTGTGTTAAAATGTAGTATAATGAATGATGGTTTTTGAGAAATTAACTTCATTTTGCATCCACAGGACTGCAGTGTTTGGGGAATACAAGTGCAGGGGCAGAGGAGCTAATGGAAGGAATAGGGTGTCATGGGCAAAGTCTTTTAGTCACGACGAAATCTCACCTTTTCTGGATATGAAATTCATAGGTGGAGAGCAATGGTTGAAATTATAGTATCATCTTTGAGTGTTATTTCCGTATTTAATTTCATTCTTGTGCACGCGAGCAGCAATGGCAGGGATGCACTCCTCCAAATCTGGCATGCACCATGAAATTTTGGGTGTTTTTTTTTTTCCCCCTCTTGTGTGACCAGAAATGAGTGTGAGGGTTATTAATTCATGATAAAGATGATGAGAACGGTGTTACGTGTATTGGCATTATAGTGAAATACAGAGTGTGTATACATTGTTTTCGCTTAGATTACAGCAAATAAGATATGATGACAAGTACTTACAGAAAAGGTGCGTTGTCACACCATTGGCATGGCATGTATTGGAACCCCAGGAGGGTGTAACATGTGAGCTTTTGTGCTCTCACTTGTGATGAGTTGTTGCGAGCTACTTGTGACCAATTGAAGTTTGGTCAATTATTAGGCAAGATAAATCATCCACTGTTCTAAAAGGAAAGGAAAATATGTCATTAGTAGAACGGAGTTGAGCATGCACCGGGTCGTGGTACTTGGTGGTTGGGTTGCGAGCCCGAGTTACCCTCCCTCTGTAACAAAGAAAATAAGGAGTTGAAAAAGGAGGTGAGGATGTTAAGATAGTCCAAATGAAACAAGAAAGTGGTAATAAAAGTGTCCAAAGGTAGCATTAAGTTGATTTTCATCCCATTCTTCTAAAGAATCAGTTGAGAACAGAATCCACTAACAACTGTTCTTTTGGGGTTTTTAGACCCTTGCCCTCCAAAATCATTTTAGTTATATGAATCAAAGTTGTTCCTGTTGGATTAGTTTTGTTCTGAAATATTTTTATTATTTATTTTTCTCTTTTCCGCTTATTCTAGAGCCATATGTCACGGACTTGAACCTTTCCAAGCTCCCGTGCGACCTTAGACACTTTCAAGCCCCCTTGAAGCGCTAAGTCAGCCTACCCAAGTGTGCTAGCTTAGTGAAGACTAAGGCTAGACAAGTGTTTTGCTTACTTAGGTGTGTAGGAAGAGGTTAGGCAAGTGAGTAAGAGAGTTTGGGAATGTATAGAACTTGTATTGCTTGAGAGGAGAGATTACAACTTGGTTGCTTGGTAAGGAGCAAATGAACTCCCACCTCCTATTGATAGGCCTTTGGCCTTACAAGAACATTTTAGATGTATACAAATGTGTGGCCTAGATTAAGTGTCTAGAACCCTGCAAAGAAATATCTATACAATTCTAGAACCATGTACAATGTTCAAGACAAGTCTAGAGAATTCTATACAACTCTAAACAAGTCTAGAGAATTCTATACAACTCTAGACAAGTCTAGAAAAGGCTAGACAACTCCACACTAATCTAGAGAATTCCGAAAAGTTTCATACTTGTGTAGAGAAGTCTAGAAAGCTCCGGTCCATGCAAGCTCCATGTCATCGTCTGCTGGGCGTCTGCGTGGCGCCTCTGTGGCGTAGCCTCTTGGTTGCGGGGCGTGACATTCTCCCCCACCTAAGCTCGCGACGCCTTCGTCGCGTCTTCTTGCTTGAACCGCTGGATATGCTCCGCGAACTGCCAAAGTGTATCCTCGTGTTCCCAGCTCGCCTCGCTATCTGGCAGGTTCTTCCATTTTACTAAGTACTCTGTATACTTGGGCACACCTCTCCTGCTCATCACACGATTTGCAAGGATGCAATCAACTTCCTTGTCAAATGATGTGACAATGGCCGTGGGTGCCCTATACGATATGCCCCGAGTAAAGTCTTTCGTGTCTTCATGATAAGGCTTGAGCATGCTGACATGGAAGACTGGGTGTATCTTCAACTTGGGTGGAAGCTCCACCATGTAGGAGACCTTGCCCACCCGCTTGACTGTAATGTCTGTGTCAATATATATATATATGTGCATATGTGTATATATTTGTGTGTGTGGTGTAATTTAAAACAAAAAGAAAAAGGGAAAAGAAAAAGGAAAATGGGTGGGACCCACATGCACTTAAAATGGTCATGAGACCACTTTTTGTTCTGAAATTTTTTTTATTTTCCCGTAAGCTTTTCTCTCTCGTTCAAGAAACTCTCTGTTTTTTTTTTTTTTTTTTTTTTTTTTTTCTTTTTTTGGCTTCAATCTTCAAGGCTTGATTGCTCCCTCATCTCTTAGTATTTTTAAGTGTCGTTTGAGGCAAAACGAAGCCCATGACGAGCTCTACGCATCCATACCATCAATTTCAATTTTTGTGCACCCTTTGGATTTCGAATTCAAGACCTACTTTTAAGGGTTTTGTGCAAATTTGAAGTAGGGGCTCTTAATCCACAAGTTTCTTGCTCCTATGTGAATTACATCTTCTAATTTGATGCTAGACATATTTACTTATGCTAGTTGTAGTTTAAAGAAATTATAGCATGTGTATGTGGTTATGTAAGAACTTGTTTTAAATGTTTTATGTGAAAATTCTTGCTTATGTGATGATTTATATATGTTCGTTGTGCTAGATGCATTGTTGTACAAGAGCATGTTATAATCCTATGAGAAATTCTTGCGAAATTATATCTTGCTTACTTAAATAGAGTTGAATGTGAAATGATGATTAAATTCATGGTATTGATGCACTCATGCACTTACATTGGGCATGAAACGGGAAGAATGAGTTTGAAATGAAAAATGAGATTTTGGGAAAAATGATTTGATGAAACGGTTTTGAAAAACCCGGTCGCCGCGGGGGTACCAAAGGGCCGGAGTGTTAATATAGCCTAGAGGGGACTAGGGAGTCGCCCTAGCGTGGTTGAGCTAGCTGGGCGCCATAATGACGCCGCGGGGGTACCAAGGGTCAGGGACACTAGCCAATCCTCCTCTCGTGTCGCTGCGGGGTCACCAAAGGGCGGGTTATATTAACAGTTTGAAAGTGATGTTTGAGAACAGAAAATGGGGAGTGACATTGGCATGCATTTGCATTTCATGGCATCGTGTGGGTTGTGCTTGAGTTTAGTTGGAATGTTGTATTATTTCCAGACATTGTATGATCCTCATTTCCTATTGGCCTATTCTTTGTATGGATTCACAGGGACACAAGAAAAGTGTTTTAAGCGTCACCTACGGAGCATATTTGCTCACCCTACTATTTATATTATTTTTTTCAGGTCTTGGAAATGAACCGGTGGACGACAATCCACCTCAAGCTTAAAAGTTATTAGAAGGTTGTTTGCTATTTTGTATTTTGACCGTTTTATGTATATTTATAGTTGTGGGGATGTAACTAAGTTAGTATTCATGGCCTTGTAACTTAAGAACGAACTTATCTTTTGTTTAATGTAAATGAAACTAATGGAATTATGGTATTTGTTTCCATGTAATTGTATCATGTAACGTTGTAAGACAAGGACTTTAGATCTTAACCAGGTATTTTGGGACTATAATTATGATAAGTTAGATTAATTGGTGTGTGGATGTACCACCATGAGAGGAACTATGTTGAAGTATAATGAACAGATGAATAGGATGCTGGATAATATTATGTGTTTTGTGTTTTGGGACAGGTTGTTGAAGGCCCATTTTTAGGGGAGGTTATGCCGAATTTTTTTTAAATTTTGGTATCAGCTAGGGTCGTTACATTGACAATGGGAAACGTACCCTCATACCTCCTTACTAGCCCCTTATGCATGCTCCGGAAGGACTTAAACTGTTGGGGTAGTAGCTTAACCATCACCTGGTCTCCCACTATGTACTCCACCCGCCTTCTTTTGGTGTCAGCCCACTTTTTCATCTTCTTTGCCGCCTTGTCAAGGTACGCCCTAGCCAAGTCGAACTGCTCGTGCCACTTCTTGGCAAACTTGTAGGCCGCCGGAGTTTTACCATCACAAGTCGAAGCAATGGCATTGGGTGTCATAGGCTGCCGTCCAGTAACAACCTCAAATGGACTGTAATTGGTAGCCTCACTCCGCTGCAAGTTGTAAGAAAACTGTGCCACCCCAAGGAGTTTGGCCCAATCTCGCTGGTTGGCACTCACATAGTGCCTCAAATAAAGCTCTAGGAGAGCGTTGATGCGCTCCATCTGCCCATTTGATTGGGGGTGGAAACTCGTAGAGAAGTTGAGATCCGTCCCCATCTTCTTGAAGAGCCCCGTCCAAAATCTACCCGTGAAGCGCGGGTCTCTGTCACTGACAATGTTTTGCGAAACTCCCCAAAGCTTAACCACATGGTCAACGAACAACTCTGCTGCCCTCTCTGCTGTGCAGTCTGCTGGTGCGGGTATAAAGGTGGCATACTTGCTGAATCAATCTACTACCACTATAATGCTCCCACAACCTTCTGACTTGGGCAAGCAAGTGATGAAATCCATAGAGACACTCTCCCATGGTCTCTCTGGAATAGGCAATGGCTCCAGTAGGCCTGCAGGATGCTGTTGCTCAATCTTATCTTGTTGGCACACAAGACAAGTCCTCACATATGTCTCCACATCATCGCGCATCCGAGGCTAATAATATGAATCTTCAATGAGTGCTAGTGTGCGCCGCATACCTGGGTGACCAGCCCATTTGGTGTCATGGCACTCCCTTATTAGCTCCTTTCATAAGTTGCCCCACCTGGGCACAAAGAGTCGGTCCCCTGTAGTGAGAAGCAAGTCATCCCTTAGCCAAAAGCGCCGAGTCTTCCCTTCCTTAGCCAACTGAATAAAGCTTTTGGCTAGAGGGTCATGCTTGTGATACCCCTCGGATCCGAGACACGGGTTGATCAGGCCCAGGCCCAAACCCGAGGGAGTATCAAACAATTAATATTTTATAGCGAACACAGAATACAAAATGAATTAAGAAATGAAAGTTTAAAGCTGAAAAGAAACTAAAAGATAATCTTAAATAATTAAATATGTTAAATTTGATAAACCAAATATCCATAATTTGAACAACTCGGGAATCCATCTCTAGTGGACCCCTAATAAAAGTCTCACACTAAATGAAAGTAAAATAAAAGATAAAACCCAAATCCAAGATCTGGAAAGAAACCCTACATCTTTGGTAGAATGGAAGATCGTCTCTGCTCTGCACGAACAAGCTCAAGCC